CTCGGCCCATCTGAGCTAGGTTCGAGCTGTATTGATCACGATTTGATGCAATTTAATTCAGCGAAGTGAACAGGGAGGAACAGGGTCAACTTACCTGAAGTTCAGAGTCGCTTTGATCACGATCATCATAATCCCAATGCATCGGAATATTTGCAGATGGACTCCAGCCATCCTGGTGTGGCCCTGCATCTAAACCCGTTGATTTTCGGCCCGACCTGCCCTGATTCCTGAATGAGTTTTGAAGAGCCTTCCTCAAGGCACTCGCAGTGCACATGGACGACATGTGGGGTTGGCCGACTTTCGGTGGTAGTGCCCAATAGTAGCTGAAAAGATCCTACTTTGTCAGTTCTGGCCTTGCACAGTATCCGAGGATGGAAATATGAATTTAAAACAATATGTGGAGGATCCAAGGCATTGTTTAAGGTGGAGTTGGAGAGTGAGTCGGAGCCATGCCGAGACCCCGTAATTTCTGCGCTGGTGCGTCCCTGCGCAGGTTCAACATGTACCGATGCCGCCAATGCCGTGTACTCGACAAAAGTAATGTCACATGCTTGTTTGGACTGTATCTTGGGACTGGAGGCATATTTTTGCATGAAATCAAGTGTAGGATAGTGGAGAAGGATCCCCTGGACCATTCTGTGCTCACGATACGATCAAAAAGTATTGATGCGCCATCAGCACAGGCAAAATACCGAAGAAATCTGAGTTTGAGCTTCTCATATAATTTTTTTCAGAGATATCTGAGTCACTCAAATTGAAGCCACAGATCTCCCCTATCATCCCGCACTTTGAAACAAGCAAAAGTATACAGGCAATCAGGCGATTAAACCTGGCCGAAAACACAGAGAATGGCGAAAATTCACTGTTTGGGGGCTCTGTAACGCGTTATTGCCTGTATATTTTTGCTTGGTTCAAAGTACGGGATGAAAGGCACACATCAAATTGGGAGGTTTCGGGGCACCCTGAAACGTTCCTGAACTCTTTAGTTTAGGTCTCCAGATACATAGACCTGAAAAAATAACTGAAATATAAAGTTTTCATAAGGCTGAAGCTGAGGCCGAAACTACCTGATTCGGGTATGTTTTCGGCATGTCTGAAATTTCTGATTTCAGAAGTGATTTAGGGCCACCTGAAGCTGCTCCTGAAACTATTGGTTTCAGGAGCAGCTTTAGCCTGCCCTAAACCTATTGTTTCGGCAAGCCCGGGACCGGCTTCCGAAACAATAAGCTTCGGCACCTGATTTGGCGCTGCACAAACTAGGCCTAGAGCGCTCTAGGCTGGCCTAGAATCAGTTTCGGCACGCCAAAAACCTGGATCCGAAACTTATTGTTCTTGGCACTGGCTCCGGGGCTGCTGAAACAATAAGCTTAGGGCACGCTAGAAGTGCTCCTGAAACTATTGGTTTCAGGAGCAGCTTCAGGTGGGCCAAAACTGCATCTGAAATTAAACAAATCAGAGGTGCCGAAAATATACCCAAATTGGGTAGTTTCGGCTCCAGCTTCGGGCGTGAAGATAATTAACATTTCAGGTGCATTTTCAGGGCTCAAGTAACTGATCCTTAAACTAATAATTTGGGAACGTTTCAGGGCCCCCAAAACCACTCAATTTGCCATGTGAGGGGACGAAATTTAACATCAACTTTTTGTTTTCATGGCCTCTGAATGCACTGATGAATGTGGAGACCATTGCCTCCGACATTCAGAGGCCCACGGTTGGTTTCCCGAAGGTCGGAATAACCTCGGGTAAACACCGCCTCACGCCGCCTCAGTGCCGCCTCAACGCGCAGCAGCCACCTCAATTTCTCCGGGCCCCTTCTGTGCTACTTTCATTCAATTGATTCGATGGTCATGCCACATGCACATCTGCCAACCAGGGTTGAAATTAAGATGATATATTCGCTTCGACTGTTAGCAAACTAGGAATCCCGGTCAAATCACCCTTGCAGATCATCGCCCTTTGGGTTGACATGATAAATGTTCAATCTGTTTCCCTGAGTCGGAAAATTCAAATTGGGATGATAAGAGGATGTCAGGTCAAATAAGGTCTGATAAGTGTGTCAAGCATTCGGGGAATGATAAGGTTCAGTAATTTGTTATCCTGGTTGACCAGCCTGATCGGCCTTACAAGCCTTATCGGAGCTGATTAGGCTGACTGGGTGTTATCAGGAAGGGCCCGAAAAAAGTCAAAGAAAAGGAAACATATGAAGGCCAAGGAAGTATGAATCTAACAATTTATACTTGACACCCCAGTGAATTAACTGGCTCCAACAACTCTATAGCAATTGGCTCTTGCGAAGGGCTAAAAAGCGGAGAAACAGCAGAAGACCAGTACCACTTCGGGGTTACAGACATAGTAAAGTGGGTGAATGTTTGTAATACATATGTCGAATTTCCAAATTATAGGCTCCCTTGTACCCTCCACGAAAAACACATCACACTTTTCTCGTTCATATTGCTCTTTCATCTTATCTACTTATTTAATTACTTACCCCTTATCTACTCATTTACTTACCCTTTAGCACCATGTAGCCACTGCCGGCAGATATCGGGCGCAGGGGTATCCCAAGACTGAGGAGTAACCAAAGCATGGGCTCTCCCCCGTGACCTCCCTTAAATGAGTGGAGAGCCAGTGACGACACAGGAGAGTAGATAGTGTAGCAAAGTAGCCACATAGGCCATAAATGGCCTGAGGGTTACTATAATGCATTGATTTCAGCAGCCACCATTACACTCTGTGTCTGCATCCCACATCAAAATCTATTCAGCAATTAATGCACTCAGCACTCTAATGAGCCTCCACTCAATATGCCATGGACCCTGAGATTGGGTCTATGTGCACATGCACTACTCCAGTTTGTAATTTCGCATCTAAAATTTGCACAAAGTCCTGCTTCAGACGGAATGCTTCCATCCCCGCCCGGAACACGTCGCGGAGGCGACAAACACTGCACATTAATGGGCTAGTGGTAACCTGGGTCGTTGCAGTGGCACTGGAAGAGGGGTTTTGCGTGTGCTGCCGACTTCACCAGGGCCTGCATGGAGGCAAGATGCATATTCGGGCTTCCCTGGAACTCATCCCCCCCAACAGAATGACACCACGGCCCTTCGCGCTCGCAAGTACTTTGCACCTACAATTGTCTGAACAGACAATGTGGACCATCCCACTATCATGGGCTTTCCTCTCTCCCAGTTCAATTGGCTGACATTTATTCCTTCTCCTCATCCACACTGTAAGACTAGTTTCGAGTCTACAAGAGGGAAATCATTGTGCGCTTGCCCTGGCAGGAGATAAGGCTTGCAAAGTGGTTGCCTGCTGGCAATGACCCTGTTCGAAGGTGTGAATAGATTGAGAACAGGTAATAGAATAAAGGCTTTGTAGCTCTGAGCCGGTATTCAATATTGTAGTGTTGTATGGAGCCACCTAGTGTGCAATGCCTCTTCTCAGAGCGTATCAACAAGTAAGACTTGGCATGCGGGCAAAGGCTTGAGAGTGTAGTGTTATGAGGTGTCGCCTAGTGCCCAGTGCCTCCTCCTGGAGAGACTCGATGGGTAAGGCTTCTCAGAGTTGCTTGACAAGGAATTGGGGCACGAAGGCGATGGTTTGTTAGGTTCGGAGCAAGCCTGTCTCTGCACCGGCAAGCCGGTGAATCTCGGAGAGCCCTGCGAAGCACGTGAGGTCATGTGATGAAGGCGGCTTGTTCCGAACTTAATGGTTTGTGATTAAGATGAAGATCATCATGTGATCCAAGAATACATGTGACTTGTAGCTAAAGAGTACTTATCCAAAATAGGAAAACCATTCCTTACACACCCCCTGCTGTCTGTGTGCTGCATTATAATGTTCAAGCAATGGCCAATTGTTGAACACCACTATGAGTCTATCATCTAGCCACCATCACACCCTATCTCTGTGTCCCACATCAGAATCTATTCAGCAACTAAGACACTCAGCATTCCAACGAGCCCCCACTCAATACACTGTGGACCCTGAGATTGAGTCTATGCCCACATGCACTATCCCAGTTCGCAATTTTGCATCGAAAATTTGCACTCTATTTCAAACGGAATGCTTCCATCCTCAGCTCAACTATGTCGCAGATGGCAGAATAAGAACTGCATTAATGGGGTAGTGGTAACCTGGGTCGTTGCCATTTCGGATTACGTAATGTAACTCGACCCGCCGGGGGTTCGATTCCCTCTTAATGCATCTTCGGATTGGCGAATACATTTTGTTTTATACTTGTGAGACTCATCCACGTTCAATCGGCGAGCCTCTATGACACTAATACACACTTCCCCTGTTTTTCGCCAATCCCAAGCCCAGCCCAGCCAGGATCTCACCTTCCACCCGCTCCCCATCTTGTCCACACCCGCCCTACCCTCAAGGTACACACTCATTTCCCTAAGTCATCTGGCTTTTCTGAGGATATTTATTCTGTGAGTGCTTGGATCCTCTGCTGCTTGCTATTCATCCATACTGTTGTTCAAGTAATTCTGTGTTCTCCCTGTATGCCCATTGCTAGCACAGCAGCTCATCAGGTTCAGAGAACACGACTGAGGTGACTGGGTAATGTAAAGAGAGCACTGAGAATGAGAAGCACACAAGCCACTGGAGTATACATATAAAGAAGACTGAAGTAGTACAGGGTTTATAGAAGTGCCAAGGGATTATAGGGGGTTTGGTGTCCCTGGAAACAGATAGTAAGGAGCACATAAAGGGTTAATGCAGACAGTTGAATCATGACACTACACCATACAGTGCTGCAAATTCTTACCTTCACTGTTCTTGCTAAGTGAGTTCCAGCTACCCCCACACCATGGGCCATCCAGGAGTTACTTGATCTGTTCCTCACTCTTGAAAAGTGAATTCCAGCTTCCCTGTGCGTCACAGACCATACAGGCAAGCCACATAGTTACTTAATCTATTCCTTACTGCACCTAAACCTGCTCAGTGATTTCTGGGTTTGCCATCTCCAATAACCCATCTAGACAGATTTCAACGCCCGCCTAGCTCAATCGGATAGAGCGTCAGACTCTTATCATAGGCGGATATCTGAAGGCTGCGAGTTCGACCCTCGCGGTGGGCTACTTACTTTCATTTTTGGATCTTACCTCAGTCTATTTTCGTCTTCCAAATAACTGTTCGTAGCAAATTACAGTGATGCTCACAAAGTGTCGATGAAAGCTGTTCATCACCTACCTATTGTCACAATTTCTTAAATCCATCCTTTGACCGCTCCTGCGAAACCTTGGTTTTGATCTGTACTTTAACATGGTGGACACTGGTTCTTGACTTGTATTCATTGCAATGCCAAGAAAAGTTTCATGCACAGTGGATCCTCCCAAAAATATTCAGTTCATCATCTCAAATGTCCCAAGAAATAGCCAGATTTACACATTTATGTAAACCCGGATGAATAAAAATGCAATGTGACTTTTCTACTTAATCATTTATCTGTTTATCACCCGCTTCACCTGTTTCCCCACCATCACCCCGTGCTGACTCCCCGATCAATTTGGTTATGGTGAGTTCCAAGCTTTGTTTCTCCCTTGACTGATCCAGACAAACAACAGTAAAGCAAATAATTTTTCCTGTGGTAAATGATAGTGGAATGTTCGGAGCCTCCTGCACTCCGGTGTGCAAGACAGAAACCTCACAGCTTGATTCATCCCTGATCTCAACATTAAAAATTGTGATAAATCCATGTTAGACACAGTAGAATAGATACAGAAGGTATAGTAAGTAAAATAATAATCCGGGGCTCATGATAGTAAGAAAGAGGGAAGAAAAAGAGAAGTAGTATATGTGCTGCAGCTGAATCTTTATTGACCCATAGCCTGGTGTGTTGCTGTGAAATCACTAACTGTAGCTAGGGTGTCAGGATGATCAGGACCAAGGAGAGCTCGCTGCTTGGCTAGCAGTTCAAGATAGAGCTGCTCTGCCTCCCTGAAATTTGTAGATGATAGCATGTGGATGCCAAATTAATTTTACCCGCAAGGTGTCAGGATGGTTCTCCCCCAGAAGATTCCTGTGTTTATTGAGTGCAGTGACACTAAGCTCCTTTGTCTCCTTAATTTTCCGAGTTGAAAGTATAGAAGGCAGATTTCCCATGGCACGCAGGGTATCTGGGTGGTCTTCACCCTGGCAGTTCTGTCTTTTCTCAAGCTCCTGAATGTACAGCTGCTCAGCCTCTCTGTATCTTCCCAGTTGATTCAATATTGATGCCAAAGTACTCACCGCATGGAGAGTGTCTTCATGGCTTTCACCCAAAAGTCTCTTCCGCTTCTCAAACACAGCAAATTCAAGTTGTTCTGCCTTGTTAAATTGTGCCATGGTTATGTAGGTTGATGCTAGAGCAGCCATCACGCATAGAGTATCTGGATGATCCTCTCCCAAAAGATCCAACCGCTTCTCAACCACAACAGATTCAAGATGTTCTGCCTCCTCCAATTGGCCCAACCGGTGAAATGACCAGGCCAAGTTGCTCATTGCATGTAGTGTGTCTGGATGATCCTCCCTCAGGAAATTCTTTCGTTTCTCAAACACTACAACCTCAAGGGCTTCTGCCTCTTTGAAATTCCCTTTATATTTAGTAAAACAACAGATAGGACCCCCATGAATCTTTCTTAAGTGACACAGATTTTCATATTCCTGCGAACTTTCGCAAGCTGGTCGCCAGAATCCTGATAAGTTCACTAACCAAAGCGCTCGACGTGGGTAATGAAGCAAAAAACGGGTTATTATCGGACCAGCGCAAACAGGTACAGTCTGATACGATTTTACGAACCATCTGTAATACGAGTAATAATTTCTGGGCTTTTGATCGGGATCCGGTCTACTTCAGCTTTATATATTCCACACCTTTGTGCTCTTCAATCATCATTGTAGGACCATCCCATCGCTCCTTGCCACTTACACAACGGTGGGAGTTTGGGGAAATATTTAACATGGCAGTCAGCGTCTCCCGATGTGAAGTAGAAGTGCACTATATGTAGAACAGTATGGTGGAAATAATTGATGGCAGCCGCCAGTTGTTTGATCCTGCGGAGGTCCGTCTAACATATCTCTAGAAAGTGAAGGAAACCTGAGATGACACAGTGTGCAACTCTCACAGAAATTATTATAATTGTCCTGAAGGCTGAAGGCTGCCTGCTCTGAACGTGATATTCGCATCTCTGCCTCACTTGTACCTATTTTCCCCGGGACTTGAAAGACTCCGAGTCACACTGTTCTAATCAGAAAGCTCATGACCATGTATCTGATTTCAATCCATTTCAATGCATTTACAGCCACTTGCGGAACTTGGGATTTTACTTCCGTTTTGAGCTATCGTTGATCATTTTGACCAAATCCATTGCCCTGGGCTCAGTTCCTTCTGTATACACATAAAACTTATATGGGCGGATTTGCGCTGCGATTACGCAGGGGGCGTGGCGCTCCGATTTTTTATATTATCATTTTACAAAATGTAGTCTATGATTTCGTAGTTTTTGATCAGATCCACTCTCGTATGGGGAGACAACCTTCAAATCAGCTATATTGTCATTCAATAATACCTTTGAGCTGTGCGAAGGGGACCTCATTGTCCGAATGTGATTCCTGGACCTTGGACACATTAGCAATGCTGTTGAATCCAAACATTTACAGTTTTAGTACTTGTTGCTCAGGACGGCCACCCGCTGCTGCTCTTTGCCAAAGTGCATGAAGGACACGCACCTGCGCTCACTACATCACACTCTGGAGAGTTCATACAGTTCACATTTGTTCTAACCTCGATTAATTCGATGCTTTGTTACGCTCAGTTAATCCGATACGACAAGTAGGAGTGAGCGGCAGTGCGTGGGGTTGGCAGGGTGGTCGTAGCTTGCGACTCATCGGAGGAGATCGTATTGGGTGCGGATGGGGGATTACGCGACTCGTCCTCGACTTTTCGCGACGATCCAAGACGGATACGATCTCAGCATTTGTTATAGGCACGTTTGATGCGTCAACATGCGTGCTAAGGAAGTGTTCGTTTGTTTGATGCGAGGACTCGCTCCTCGGCCGCGAAGAAACGGAGTCGGGAGTCGGGTACGCGGGCCGCGAAGCGGACATGGTTTACCAGGGTTTACCGCAGCTTATATTATAATCACATTGAAGTTGACTTGCCGAAGACCGCCTCGAGGCGCTTATTCCGAGATGTACCAAGTTGCGCACAGCGAGCGAGCCCCCGCGCGAAGACGCCGGAATCGGAATGAGGGGATAGGGCCCGGGGGGTCATCTGCTTACGGATCAGATGAGGGGATAATGGTAGGATGGCGCTGCTCATGATCTTTTCCGCAGAGATGCAGCGTTTCAGAAACGGGAGTTAAACTGGGTGTAGCGATTAATTAAGTGGGGAGTGGACGAGGGGGAGAGCCGTGGTTGACAGATTGAATTCTGGAAGGAAGGGAGGAAGGGAGGAAACGGAGCACCCACTCAGGCACTCGGAGTGTATGTGTATGTTGAGAGGAAGGGGAGAAGACTCGTATGCGATACAGTATGATTGATCGTCCATTCCAGTAATTTCGAGCTCGAGTGCCGCCCTCTTCATTTTCCTGCGTGATTCCTCGATCTTCAAATGCAGTACCATAGGCCCGAACGCAAAGCGGTTCGCATCCAATTTGCATGTACATTTTAATGGGAAATTAATCCATTTAAATTATTTGGGCGTCTCTTAGTCGACGCACAGCTAGGCCATTCACGGGCATAGATCTCGTTGCGGGGACCCGCTGTTCCAGGCTCAGAAAACCTTGGTACTGAGCACCACCCCGTTCTTCGTCCCTGCATGATTAATTTTCTGCACCCCAAATCGTTCTTCACGATTCTCCAACCACTCTTCACCCGTCACAGGAGTTGGAACGCAGTACCACAGACCAGGATGCGCGCCCAGTAGCATTTGAAGGTCCAGAGGCGGAGGTCCCTTGTTCGACTCAAGGCGGGGGCGTGCATCGAAGGAAGCGTCGCTTTTTACGGGTGGCGTTTTTCCGTTTTCGCAGGGAGCGGGGAGGCACGGGAGGCGCGGGAGGCGCGAGAGTATGTAAATTTGGTAGCTGGCTGGGCAAGGGCATCTTGAGAAACGGGGGGATGTATCGAGCCAGTGAGGATTCGGCGCGATGGGATGTCTACGCGGGACCAAGGGAGGGGCGCGGGACGCGGGTCGTCGGAGACCATGCGTAGGCCGAGCGCTCGCACAGGTCACGGGTATAGGCATCTCCGATAGGAAAAATGGAAGCACTTCTTTTAACTATATGACAGACGGCCCGCTACCTGTCCTTGTCCTTGTACTGTCAGTGTATGTATACGGCCTCAAGTTGCAGGTGCCTTGAAAGTTATAACGGGAAGTACACGTGCGCGCGGCGAAATTACATTGCCTCCGACGTTCTTCCGGTGGTTCGTGAATGTGGGATTTTCGGTGAAATCATATCAGGCCGCCCGGAGCCGGTATGTTTAATTAAATCCGTCGGTTCAATTAAGTGCGAGTAGGTACGGTTGAGATGGGCGTGAAAGCGCGGGGCGTGGGGTTGGCGGGTGTTCGACTGCGAGATTCTGGGGGCAGGGGATCGTATTGGGTGGGGAATTCCGCGACTCGCCCTTCACGTGTGACGTAGTAATACCACGGGCCTACACGGGCCCCCATTCGGTATTCCTTGGCGCGATGTGCGAACATGCAGATGCGAGGACTTGGACCTACTCGGACAAGGCCGCGGAGCAACGGAGCGGGCCGCGAATCGAACATCGCATTCAAGGTGGCTTGCCGAGGACGCCGACGCAGGAGGTTCTGGCTACGCGTCGAAGCCTATTTATTCCGAGGTGCGAGCAGCGAGCGAGCGCCCGCGGGAAGGCGCCGGAACCGGAATGAGGGTAGGAATCTCCTTATGGATCAGATGAGATGGGAGGATCGCGCTGCTTGATTTAGATGCTGCGGAGGGAGTGTTGCAGCAACGCGCACTGAGCACAGAAATTGGATGGGGTGGACGAGGGAGAGCCCTGGCTGACAGGGTGAAGGAAGGAAGGAAGCGGGAGCACTCGCCCAGGCACTCGGAATGCATGTATGTTGTTGGGTAG